ACAAGCAGCTCATCATCCCATCACAGGCAGATTCGCCCTCACTTCCTTTTTTGTGTGTGATCCCGAGCTAGAAATGTAAAGCATAAGAGAAGAGAAGGGGATTTTTCTTCTCCTATTGTAGTCTTTGTATCACTAAAATCTATGATCGCTTAGCTCAGTGGAGGTTAGATACTTCTAAGGCCCCTGGTTTTATTCTTCCCCCATTGTTCCGAATTGTGCTGGCAATTCATCAACAGGACAGGATTCTTCCCCAGCGGTGTCAGCACGAGAAAAGTGCAAACTCTTTAAGGCTTGCCCTTATTTAAATGCTCTACAATGAGAGAGTTTAAAAGGGAACACAGGCAATATATTCATGAGATGCTTTATTTGACAAATCCCCCTGAAAGTGCATAATGTTTTCTTGTTATATATCATCCATTGGCCAGCCTGAACACCTTTTTCATTTCAGAGCTGTCACATCAAACTGCATTTGACTAAAATAAACCTTGGGAATCAAATGTTGATATACACTAAAGCCCGTTCTGTGGCCCATAAATCATTGGGCTATTTGACTACAGATCCCTTTTTCATTTGGATGAGCTTTCATTCCATTCTGACTTGGCAGTTATAACTCATAGCCATATTTATTTATTACCTCTGTCCTATAATGCTGCCCAACAGCAATAAACATGAGTCTAATGATAACAGAGGTTCGAGATGGATGGGGAGACACCCAGTAGGAGCTGAGTCAGCCTTGGGTAGCTTTCGTGCCCCTAAGAGCCTCCTGCTCTTCCAGTGGAATATAGATGGAAGAATTAAATGCTGCTCAAAGATGAAGGTTCCACCAACATAAGCATTTCAGTTTGGCTGATGAAACATTCTCCCCTCTCCTCCCCGTGTGGTGTTCTGGGGGTTCTCCTACCACCCCCCACTCCAGAGCCAATTTTGGGGTGGCACAGGGGAAGGAGAGGTGATATAGTGCAACTAATTAGTTGAATCTACCCCAAAGGGGAAATACATTAAAAGTAATACTAAAACTAATTTCAATGCAGTTTTTTAAAAAGAAAGATTGTCCCAAACCCCTGGCCTACCTGGCAGCAAGACGCTATGCCAAATCCAAAGTTCAAAGTCCAGGGGTCAATCCATTTAAGCAAAGTCCAAAATCCAAAGTCTGGAGATCAGGAAACGCAGTACAAGGCCAATCCAAGTAGCCAAGTCTGAAGTCCAGCAGTCAGCATACAGTGCAGAGACAAATCCAAAGCACAGTCCCATAGAGGTCCAGGAGCATCCAGGTCAAGGTCCATCAGCATGGGCAACTAAGTAAACACAGCACCCCAGCTCTGCTTCCTTTTGTACTCTGTATGCTGACTGCAGCATCTGGGCTTGGCGAGGCAGGTGACCCTTACCCAAGCCTACTCCAGCTGAGGAATCACACACCTCTTCCTAGAGCTAGTGAGTCCCACCTGGCCAGCTAGGGAGCTGGGCTGTGGGCCCTTGCCTGCCTCAGCCTCCTAGAGCACCCCTCCCACTGCTCCTTATGTTAGTTTCTGTTTCTCACTGTGCAGCTGCTGGGAGTCACAGGGCTCTGTTTACATTCCAGAGACAGTCCAGACTCTTGGAAGTCTCACGGGAAGGGAGACGGGATGTGACGTTAGTGGTTTCCTGTTTCCTTTGTTCCTTTGTTTCTGTTGCTCTCAGCTTTCATAGAGAAAGGATGTCTTTTCTGTTCTGCGTAGTTTAGAAATAAAACTCTTTACAATGTAGCCAAACCTCTCGTCTCTTCCCTGTGCTGGGAACCCTGCTGGGTAGAATGTGCTTGAGGCCTTATCAAAGGCTCAGGTGATTAAACACGTCGGAGGCGATTTCAAAGGCTCGGAGGAAGATGAGGCCTTATCGGCTTGGCCGAGTGGAGTTCCGACACCCTATGCCTCAGAGTCCACTGTGCTTGTGGAGACTGGGGCCCTTCTGGTGATGGGGCCTGCTGCTGTGTTTCCTGTGCATTGACCCCCATACCCTTGTTATCCTCCATCACCCTGTGAGTACTTCCTTCCCCATCCCCAGTTTGCCCCGGTGTGTCCCAGGGATCCTCTTCCTCCTCCACATCATCCTGCCAGTTCATGACACAGACTGATGGAAAGGACATATAAATAAACATATGCAAAGAAATAGGCTCCTCGGTCCATCTCTAACCTCTGGGACCTGGTTGAATTGTAGAACTGCTCTCACCAGCGTGTTGTTCCTAACATTCAGCTGAAATCTACCTTCCTGTAACTTAGATTAGATCCAGAAGTGGCCCCTGGGTCAGCAGGGAAAACATCTTTGCCCTTTTCTACATGCATGTTCATACAAGATATTCAACAAATGTACAGTCTGTACCTGTATACACCCTTGTACAGCTGTTCACATGTAATGTTCAATGAACGCACAGCCTGTGTACACAGTAGCTAAGCTGCACAAATCAAAAATTGCCCACTCTTTCACAAAAACACTTGTACATGTGTAGAGACAGCTTGTGAACTGTGTTAAGTATAATGTAAGGACAAGCCTTATGTGACATTCCTTCAGGAGTCTGATGAGTGTTCTCCTGTCCACTGATCTTCAGTTTAACTGCTCCAATCAACAGACTGGCATCATTAAGAGAAAACTGTAAATGCTACATTTGCATGTACTACTTCACATTGCCACGTATAACATGGCTCTCCTGTTATTTACAAGTTTAGGCCAGTGAGCCTAAATTGGATGTCTGCAACTATAACAATACATTTAAATCTAAACATGCCAAGGACTTGGAGTGGGAAACAGTAATTATATGAGAAGGATTGATCCTTGCCTGTGGAGGTCTCTCAAGGTCTCACACGAAGGCCCAAGTCAAAAAAGGTCTAACAAATT